CCCAGCTAATTTTTCAATTTTTAGTACAGATAGGGTTTTGCCATGTTAGCCAGGCTGGTCTTGAACTCCTGACCTCAGATGATCCATCTGCCTCGGCCTCCCAAAGTGCTGAGATTACTTACAGGTATGAGCCACCATGCCTGGCCCAGGGGATGTATTAAATAAATTATTTCACATCCATGCAATGGAATAGTATGCAGCAGTAAAATACATTAAGACATTCTCTATATGCTAATATGGAAAAATCTGTAAGATATATTGTTAAGAGAAGCAAGTTACAGAATTCTATAGAATCATATGGAAATAAGGAAAGAAATAAGAAACTATATGTTTAGGCCACATGCAGTGACTCACGCCTGTAATCCCAGCGCTTTGGGAGGCAGAGGCGGGCAGATCACCTGAGGTCAGGAGTTCGGGATAAGCCTGGCAAACATGGTGAAATCCCGTCTCTACTGAAAACACAAAAAAATTAGCCAGCCGTGGTGGCATGCACCTGTAGTCCCAGCTACTTGGGAGGCAGAGGCAGGACAATCGCTTGAACTGGGAGGCAGAGGTTGCAAAAAGCCAAGATTGCGCCACTGCACTCCATCCTGGGCAACACAGAGAGACTCCATCTCAAAAAAAAAAACAACACACATATTTACGTATCTTCTTTATTTATTTATTTAGTGTGTGTGTTTCAAATGGTTGGGTTGGAGCCTGGAAGTCTAGGTTTTGGTTTTTGTTTCTTGAGTTTGTTTGTTTGTTTTTGCTTTACTTTGTTTTAAAGATCCAAAATGATTCTGATGTAGCAGGTCCACAGAAAACTACTGATCTACTATGCAGTCAATTTGTGTAAGCGTTCCAAAGGCAACTGAAAAGAAGCAACATCTGTTAGAGGATCAAAGTCTGATAGATACAGAAACAGATATATATATATAGAAAAATATGTATATAATTGACATTAATAAGATGAATAAATATCATTTCTAACTCTAGTATTGATATGTCAAGTGATGTGTGTTAAAAATCTACCATTACAATTGTATTCTGTGAATTTTTCCATCATTACATACGTAAGTACATATACATATACTATGTTATAATATATACTATTGACAATATAAAATATCTTCATTATTGATTTTACCTTTTATGAAAAGATGCATAATAGCCCTCTTTATCACACTGATTGCTTTTTTTGCCTTGAATTCTACTTTTCTATATTAATATTGCCATTCCTGCTTTCTTTTTGTATTTGGCTTTTCTAATTTTTTTCTTAACAATTTTCAAATATTCTGACTTTCTTTAATAAAATATAGATCAATATGTGTAGGTTTTTTGGAGAGATGGCCCAAATTGAGAATCTTTGTTGTTTAACAATGGAATTTAACTCATTTATATTTATTATCATTACATATGTACTCACACTTCTATCATATTTATTTATTATTCCTTTATTTTCTTTTTCTACATGTGTATTTTCTTTGTCTTCTTTTACTATTTGGAATGCTTCCATTCTACTAGTAACTTTATATCTATGAAATACTAAATTTTCATCAAAGTACATCCAGCAATTAATTTCCTTTCATTGACTTTGTCTGTTAATGGGTGAGTCATTTTGATTTTCAGATTTAAGTCTTCAATCAGCTTAACAACATCAATTATCCATGTGTAATTCCTACTCACTACCCTCCATATTCATCATAATCTCACTCATTATTTTAAAGTTGTTGTGTTTCCTTTGAATTATGTGAGAGTTTCTTAAACTTGTTCCCCATATTAATAACTGGATTTTCTACAAAGTAGATTCTGCTTTTTACTGCTTCATATACTATTTAAAATTCTTTTTGACCATTTTTAGTTTTCTTTTATTATCTCCCTAACTTAACCAGTAATTATTTTCTCCCATTCTGATGCTCACTCTATCTTTCCTTTCTTAGTGTGTTTTTTTTCTAGAGGTTTGTGGAAAATTCAAAGTTAATAAATATCTCAAATTTACCTGGCTTTCTGTAAAAGTAAATACTTTTCAAAACTCTGTTATTCTCTAACCAGTTTATGCTTTTTTAGATGCAGAATCTCTTCTTTTACAAACCCACAAAATTTCTTCTTCTTTCTATCCAAACGTGAAACAGAAGAAAAGTCCACACAGGCTTGTTGTCTCCAAACTGTGGGTAGATTCTTCTTAGCTACTCTCGTGGCACACACAGGCTGTTAGAATACTTAGATCTTAGACTGGAGTGCTGCTTGTTATAAATTTGGTACATCAATTAAAAAATCCAGAAGTCTATGGGGAATGAGGAAGAAGTTTGGACAGCAGTCACTGCCAGCAGGGGAATTTCATTTCTGGATAATTCTTCTTTGTGTCTGGCAAAGCTGCTAAACCGTGGAGCCAATTTTTTATGTCTGGTTTCCAATTTGGCCTGGCAATCACTCCAAGTACATGATGTGACTGCCCAACTTCTGAGCTGGTATACGGCTTCTCATCACTACCCTACCCACTAGCTTTCTATCTGGGAGAGCCACATTTGAGCTTGCCCTTGGGCTTCCTGGGGCATTGATTTCAAATGCTGTTGACCCACAACATAATTCTATGTGGAAAGATCCCTGGCTGTTCTAGGGCTCACTCTCACTCCTAAAGAGGACAGGATTCTTCTAGAATCTCCAACTGCATATATTCCCATACAACAGTGCTTTCCTCTTCTCTTTTTTTTTTTTTTTTTTGTTGTTGTTGTTGAGACAGGGTCTCACTCTGTTGCCCAGGCTCGACTGGCATGATCCTGGCCCACTGTAACCTCTGCCTCCCAGGTTCAGGTGATTCTCCTGCCTCAGCCTCCTGAGTAGCTGAGACTACAGGTGCGTGCTACCACCCCTGGCTAGTTTTGTTTTGTTTTTTTTGTTTGTTTTTGTATATTTAGTAGAGAGGGGGTTTTACCGTCTTAGCCAGGATGGTCTCGATCTCGTGACCTCGTGATCCGCCCACCTCGGCCTCCCAAAGTGCTGGGATTACAGGCGTAAGCCACCGTGCCTGGCCATGATACTGCTTTCTAAGGAAGGGAAACTGGGGTTCAACTCTCAATATTCACCTACTTTTAGTCCTAACTTTCCCATAGATTACAAAACAAAAAAGAAAAACCATCAAAGTATGTGTTGTGTGCCTGGCATCTTTCTCTAGCTTCCAGCCCCAAAGCAGCATTTCCAGTCCTAACGTAGGATACACTATTAGAAAGAGGGGGTTAGATCTTTGTATTCCGCTGTCATCTTATTCAAAAATCCTACCCAATCTTGGTCTGAATTTTATTAAGGTAGCAATTTTCTTCACAGAGGTTCACCTAGCTGGAAATCCTATTTGGAGATGGAGATCCAGGTATTAACCCCTCAGAAAATTGGCTCTTGCTATTTAATTGACTCTTCCATGCCTTACAAATATGATTTCCAGCCAAATGAACCTCTGTAGAGAAAATTGCTTCCCTTCTTGATAAGAAACAAACTAAGATTGGATGGATGGGTGCCGACAACATCCTCAAACCATGGCCCCCCGCCTTTCCCAAAGTGGGGTTATGTGTCCTTATTCCCTCCAATATTTATCTCAAAATTTGGGCAGGAAAAAAAAATCTGATTGCTCTTTTCCAAATACCTTTATGAATTTTCAATTAGACTCCACAAATAAGGATTGAGAGCTTGACAGGTTCACAGTATTCTGCTGAGCACCACCCCACCAGGGACAGAGATAAATAAGACACAGACTCCTCTGTGCCCCCATAGCAACCTGTGCATATTGCTAAAATCATACCCATGACACACATTACATTCGTGAAACCATACGCCTTTCAGAGAACAGGCACCAAGTCTCAGCCATCATGGTATCTCTAACACCTATCACAGTTCCTGGCACAGAGGAGGTTTTACAAAACATGTTAGCTAAGCCAAACAGAAACCAGTTCCAGTTCCTGCCCTTGAGAAGGTCACAATCCAGACAGAGGTGCCCTGGCTTCCGCCGTAAATCAGTGTTCCTGTTGTGAACATCACTGCGTCTCAGGGAACCCAGCCCACACAACAAACACTATCTTTCCTGGCGAGACGTATACCGCAGGCAGCGCTCTGGCAAACCCTCTCCCAGGACTCGGAGCTGCGTCTCAGCAGGATGAGTCACACTGAACCATCCCTACTTTTCTTCCCGTCTTCCTCTGAGCCATGGACTTGTAAGAAAGAGGGGCCGGGAGGGGTATAGTCCGGGTGACCTGGAGACCTGGATGCCCCTCTGTCAGCTGGTGGAGCATGTGGGTCTCCCTGCTAGGCAACTTCAGACATAGCCCCAGGATTCCAGCAGGCCTGTCCCCGCCACCAGCACACCCAGACCAGACTGGTCAGTCTGGTATTTCTGAGTCCCCCATCCCAGCCCCCACACCACCCTGCCTGGAAGAGGAGTGGCCTCACGCAACACAACAGCCCTACCTGAGGATGATCCGGAGGTACTCGATCCCCTCTGCTTCCTCGCACTTGACGGACAGGATCAAGTTCCCCAGGCTGCTGCCAGTACAGTAGAAGTTGAGATGATCCTAGAAAGAGAAACCGGGTGTGAGCAGGAAGGAAGAAGAAACCTTCCAGATATGCTCCCCGCAAACCACCTCCTTCACCAGGGGCGCGAAGCCCCGCAGCAACAAGAGAGAGAAGGATGCTACTGACGACAACGACGACATTAACAGGTACCGCCGGCCGAATCCTCAGGAGGCGCCAGGCACGGTGCTAGGGGCTGAATACCCGCTGTCTCCTCCACTCCTGCCCACAACTTTATCCGGGAGAGAACATCGTCCCCGTTTCACAGACGGGAAAACCAATGGTCCGGGAGGTTAAATCACTGCCCAGGGTCACACGACGAGTAAGGGACAGATCCGGGGCTCAAACGCACATCTGTCTTGACTCTGAAGGGCAAGTTCTTGACCACAAGACACTAAGTTCTCATTCCCAGGGGGTGGCTCTCACCAGTTCAGACTATTTGGGGCAAGACAGCAAGGAGGAACCCTGGTACCTCCAGCCAGCGGAGCTGGGAGGTGTCCCGGGCCAGTGGGTCACTCCCTGGCTAGGGGAACACGGGCGAAAAACACAGCTCCCCAGACCTGCTGGATCGGAGTGGGGCCCTGGAATCTGCATGCTAACAAGACCCAGGGGCTCTGATGCAGCCTCCCCTCATGTGAGACTCTGCAAAGCGGCCTCAGGCCACAGATTTCCGGAATCTGCTCTCAGTACATCAAGAATCTGGTAAGTCCGAAGGGCAGAATATATTGTTTTAAAAGTAATTTTGTCACTTTTAAGCTATCAGAGGCTCGCAGACAGTATGCAGTACAAGTACTCAGAGGACCTGACGAAACGAGGACGGGAGAGATTTGCGTGATTTAGATGGAAACAGAGACTTCTGAGGTGTAAGAACATATTTTTCCTTGAACACTCAAAACTCCACCAACCGTCCTTCACCCCAAACACTACCCCTTCCATCGCCTCCTGAAACATTTGCAGGGGGTGGTCCCCACAAGGACTCACGGCACTGGGCCTCCCTGACTGCCGCATGGCTCCCCTGCCCCGTGTCCCCTATCCCAGGACAGAGCCAGTCAGACCTCTCCAACTAAGACAGCAGCAGGCAGCAACGAAAGGACAGACTGGGAAGGAGGTAAGAGGCAAAGGAAAAGGGGGGCACTGGATAGAGGACCGTGGGTCACTGTGCCCTCCACCCACCCCGGGCAGCTCCTCTCTCCCAGGGCTGCCAGTCCCTCCCTCACCCCGCCCCCTACAGCTCCTCTCCCCCCAGGGCCCCAACCCTTCCCACCATCCCCGCCAGTTCCTCTCTCCCCCAGCCTCCCCTAGCCTCTCCCCTTCACCCCCAGCAGCTCCTCTCTCCCAGGGTCCCTAGCCTCTCCCCCAACCCCCGCCAGCTCCTTTCTCCTCCAGCCGCCCCTCCAACCCCCGGCAGCTCCTCTCTGCCAGCCTCCCCCAGCCTCTCCCCCAACCCCTGGTACCTCCTCTCTCCCAGGGTCCCCAGCCCCGCCCCGCCCCTTCCCACAGCCTCCCCCAGCCTCTCGCCCAACCCCTGGTACCTCCTCTCTCCCAGGGTCCCCAGCCTCTGCCCCCAGCCCCCAGCAGCTCCTCTCCCCCAGCCTCACCTTCCCTAGGAAGTGCCTCCGGTAGGCCCTGGCTTCACCCTTGCACTCGAGCTTGTAGCCGAACGTGTTGGGGCTGAGGTTGTCTTCTTCCTCCTCCTCACAGATGCTGCTCCCCAGCGATGTTGGGGTGCCCACGTTCTCCGGGTCCTCGATCCAGTAGCCCCCAAACTGCGGCAAGATGACCTGAGGGTATGGGCCTCCCTTCTCCACAACCTGAAGGCAGAGGGAGGGTCCTGCGCTGCAGCTGGCCCTGGGACCGCAGGGGAGGGAGGGGCCGGTGGCGGTGTCCCCTCTGCACTGCTCCCAGGAGTAGGGCCTGGTACCCACTGGTACTTGAGGCCAAAGGCAGTGACCTGAACCCCTCCTCCAAGCCCCACAACATCTCCAGGTTCATTCGCCAACCCTGTAGCCCCAGGGCTGCAAGGCCTAGATGAGCACCCCCAACTTAACATATGGAGAAGCTGAGGATACAAAGGCAAAGACAGGAAGAGAGGTCCCAGGCCCAAGGTGCTCTCCCATGGGGGGCTGGGCACAGCCCATCACCATCATTTCCCCAGGGAAGGGACCCAGAGCAGGCTGCAGAGCGGGTGGGAGCGGGGGAGGGCGCCTACCTCGTCGATGCTGGGGTACGGGATATAGTCATCCTGCAAGACAAACCAGATAGTGCCACCGTTAGTCCCGGCAGTGCCCATAAAGTCTGACCACTGTTTCCAGGTCTCACAAGGGGGGTACATTGTGGGGGCTTTGAGGGAGGAACATTCGATGGAAGAACAGCTCAGAATCAGCTCTGGGATCTGACATCCCCCCCACCCCGTTCTTCTCCAAACCGACAGAACTGGAACATAAGCCCTGCCAGCTGGCGACGCAGTACCGAAGGCGCTGAACTTCTCACCCTGCATCATACCAGCTTCCCATCCTAGAACGCTCATTCCAGAAAATGACCTCTAGTCTCCCCCAGCACCCCTTTCCAGGCAGGGGGACTGGCCTCTAAGTGAGAAGCGGCACCCTGGGCTGGGAAATGGAACCTGAAGCTGAGAGCTGACTGCCCACTGGAACCCGGGGCAGAGCCTGACACCCTTACACACTGCACAGGGTCGGGAAGAGCCGGGCCAAACAGCCAAGCCTGAGGTCCCACCGAGGCCTCCACCCCCAGCCTGCTCTGAAGCTGCCCTGAGGCATCAGGCCAGGACCCCTCAGCTGCCCACCGTGCACTGGTCTAACAAGGCAGTCATGAAGCGGCCCGCGGTGCGAGTCAGAGTTAGACAGGTGTGAGACGGAAGACCCAGCACACTGGTGGCTCCTCCTGCCTTCCTCTCACCCTGGCCCCTCGCCAGGGCCATCGGGCCACCCCCTCCCCCACCCAGCCCACCTTGTTCTTCTGGGGTCCTGGCTTCTGTTCTTCAAGCTTGATCCCCTATAGAAACAAGGAAAACAGGATCCACAGAAAAGCAAAGGTCAGAAGAAAGGGCCAGATAAAGAGCACCTGGCCTCACAGGGGGTTAGTAACAAGAGCAGCACAACAGCTGGCCCAGGCTGGGCCTGTACACATCACACGTGGCCACGGGCGGGCCTCCCAGCACCTGAGCGAGGCAGCAGCACCGCTGGGCTAACAGCACAGACTTGAGACAGATCACCGCGGTTCAAATCCCAACATTGCCACCTATCAGCCTGATGACCTTGGCAAGTCACAGAAACCTCTCTGTGACTCAGTGTTCTCATCTGTAAAATGGGAACGATGGTGGTATCAACTATGGTGGTGAAGGTTAAAGGTGAACAATGGTTGAGCACTTGGAACACTGACTGGTACATAATAAATGCTGTGGGTCATTATGAAGGAGGCAGTATTATCATTCAAAGCTTAAATATCTGTCTTGTCGGGCGCAGTGGCTCATGCCTGTAATCCCAGCACTTTGGGAGGCCAAGGCGGGCAGATCACCTGAGATCAGGAGTTCAAGACCAGCCTAACCAACGTGGAGAAACCCCGTCTCTACTAAAAATACAAAATTAGCCAGGCATGGTGGTGCATGTCTGTAATCTCAGCTACTCAGGAGGCTGAGGCAGGAGAATTGCTTGAACCCAGGAGACAGAGGTTGCAGTGAGACAAGATTGCGCCATTGCACTTCAGCCTGGGCACAACAAGAGCAAAACTCCATCTCAAATTAAAAAAATATATATATATGTCTTAGGATCACAGAGCCAGTAAGGGAAGGGAAACATGGGAAGTCATACCTGCTGGTGTCAGAGCCAGCGTTCTAGACCCCATGCCAATAGGCCTTCAGGGGACAGGCAGGAGGCCTGGTGCTGGCCCTCACTCTGCTGCAAGCTTACTATTTGTGACCCTTGACAAAGCATAGCCTCTTGGAGCCCCCAGTGTCATCTGTAAAAGGAGGATTAGACACTCACCTTTCATCCCACTAATGCAAGGATGACTGCAAGGATCAGATATGATGCCTGGGACTCGACTAAGGGAATTTATCTACAGGTATCTGAAGAATTCACTTCTGAGGAGCAGTGCCCTATCCAACAGTTCTTTTTGTTTGTTTATTTTTGAGACAGAGTCTCTCTCTGTCACCCTGGCTGGAGGGCAGTGGTACAATTTCAGCTCACAGAAAACCTCCACCTCCCAGGTTCAAGCGATTCTCCTGCCTCAGCCTTCCAAGTAGCTGGGATTACAGGCAGGCGCCACCATGACCGGCTAATTTTTGTATTTTTAGTAGAGATGGGGTTTCACTATGTTGGCCAGGCTGGTCTCGAACTCCTGACCTCAGGTGATCCACCCACCTTGGCTTCCCAAAGTGCTGGGATTACAGATGTGAGCCACTGCACCCGGCCTCTTCTATTTTTTTTTTTTTTTTGAGATGGAGTTTCACTCTTGTTGCCCAGGCCAGAGTGCAGTGGTGGGATCTCGGTTCACTGCAACCTCCACCTCCTGGGTTCAAGTGATTCTCCTGCATCAGTCTCCCAAGTAGCTGGGATTACAGGCATGTGCCACCACGCCCAGCTAATTTTTTGCATTTTTAGTACAGACGGGGTTTCTCCATTTTGGCCAGGCTGGTCTTGAACTCCCAACCTCAGGTGATCCACCCGCCTTGGCCTCCCAAAGTGCTGGGATTACAGGCGTGAGTCACTGCACCTGGCCCCAGTCCCGGTTCTATCATTGAGTTCTGACTTAACTGCGTTGTGCAGGAGGGGAACACGTGGTGATTCCAAGACTGTCTGAGAAAATCGGGTGACAGTACGAGACGGAGCACAAACTAGAAGAAACAGTTCCCCTCTGAAGCAGGAGTCCAGAAGCAGCTTCTGCCTGACCACAACACTAACGCACAGGGATTTCAGCCTTCCCAAGCCAGCTCTCTCTGTGGTCTCCTTTGGAACTCACAGCACCTTTCCGCCAGCAAGGACGCCGGGGTGCCAGAACGAGGCTGCTTGCCTAAGGTCGCACAGCCAGTGAGGGGCAGGGCCTAGATTTGAAGCCGGGTCACCGGCTCACCGGCTCACCAAGTGCATGAGGTGCCCCACACTCTGCGGACAGCAGGGCTTCTGTTAACTGGGTGGCTTGAGAGGCTGCCTCTCCGGACTTCCCTGGGCTGAGTCGCCTCGCACCATTGTTCAGGAGGGCGTGCGAGGGCCCTTCCCACTGGACAGGCGCTCCTCTCACACACACAGAGAAAACCACCTGGGTGGCCCTCCAGACCCTGTCCCAGTTGGCACACTGGGTGGATGGCGGGGGGGGCGGGCAGTGAGGGCAGACGTCTGTTCTGTTTGGCCTGCATTAGTCATCCCTGTCTGGGAACAGCCCCGAGGGCAGGAGAGCAAACCTCCTCCCGTCCCCTCTGCCACACCACTCCCTCCCCTAATAACCTACCGCAGAGCCACTGTCCAGCACTGGGACCTCTCTCCTCCATGTGCTGCCTTTGCTGGAGGTACTGTCTTTTTTTTTTTGTTGAGACAGAGTCTCGCTCTGTCATCCAGGCTGAATGCAGAGGTGCAATCTCCGCTCACTGCAACCTCCGCCACTCGGGTTCAAGAGATTCTCCTGCCTCAGCCTCCCGAACAGCTGGGACTACAGGCATGTGCCACCATGCCCGGCCACAATAGGTATTATCTTTATGTCCCCTTCTCCCCTCAATGAAGAAATGAAGGCTCAGAGAGGGAAACCGACTTGACCGAGGATGCTCAGCTAGAAAGTGTCAGGGTTAGAACCTGAACCCAGGACTCAAGGAGTCCAAAGCTTTTGCCTTCTCGTAATTCCTAGACTCTTGGGCTAGGAATCGGGATTCCTGGGTTCCAGTTTCAGCTCTTCACAACTAGCAAAGTGACCCGGGCACTTCACTGCTCTGAGGTTCAGTTTCCACACATGCAAGATGAAGAAAGATGGAGCTCAGGCTCAAGGCCCACGCGGGCACTCCATGGCCATCAGCGCCCCATACGTGAGCTTCTTACTAACAGTGAATCCTCTGAGGCTGGGCCCAGGGGGCACAGGGTACAGACTGAAACACCCGGAAATTTGGCTTCAACAGTCTCAACTGAAATGGAACAGACACCCCGCCCAGGGGGATCAGCCATTGCAGAGACAGAGGGAGAATAAAACAAGAGCCCTACCCTAGAAAGCGCCCAGTCTAGAGGAAAAGACAAGCCCGGCAGCCTCTACACAACAGGCCACTCTGAGGCCGGTTAACTGGGGCTGAATGCCGTGCTCAGAGAGACCCTGTGTGGGGGAAAGTTGTGGGAAGGGGACTCCGGCTGGGGGAGAAGGAAGAGAGGATCTGAGGAGACACTGGAGAGAAGGCTGGGTGGGCTGCGAACCCCCTGCCAGCTTCCCAGAGGGCCAGGATCCCACTGACTAGAGGTGAAAATCCCAGCTTTGCTCCAAGCAATTGGGCACTTAATTATCTACCATCCCCCATCCCTCATCACTCAGGCGCGTGCCAGCCTTGCGTCCGCAAGCTCATAAGTTCCCTAAATGCATAGAAGATGAGTCTGTCGTCTACACACGGCTGGGTGCGGAGGACGATTTTAATAACTTGCTCTGGGTGACACGGCCACTAACAATACTTGCCCTCCCTCCCCTCCCATCCCAGCCTCAGGGAGACCTGGCTGCTTCCCAGCATCTCAGGACTGCCGTGGGGGCTATATTTGCCCCTCCTGCTAGGACTTCCAGACCATTATTACAGAATCTTCCTCCCTTGAGCCTGGAGCACCTACCTAGGGTCAAAAGTATCATGACATGATGGCTGGACTCCCTGACTCTGAAGCCACTTACGAACCACGCACCCTTTGAGTGCTGCCTTTAATCGTTCTGTGCCTCAATTTTCTCACTTGTCCTATGGGGATAATAATAATAACACACCTACTTCCTAAGCCCTCAGCAGGAAGAAATGACGCCTGTCAATCTCTGAGCCCAGCGAAGTGCCTGAGCTATAGGTGGATTATCAGCATCGTCGTCCCACTCTTCCTGCCCATGTCCATGAACCCTTCTGGGCCTCTGCACGTACTCTGCAGGGCAGCGGCTCTTACCTGGGAGCCCTGACCCTGGTGAGGAATAGCAAAGAACCCCCAAACCCACACCACACACCGACTTTTATATAGTGTCTACCAAGTACTTACACCGATTATCTTGTTTCACCCCAACCACCATGTAAGTGGGTGCTTTCCTTCTTACTTATTTATGGAGGCTTAGGACGGGCAAGGAACTGGTGCTAGTAAGTGTCCGGTGCAGGATTTGAACTCAGGCCGGCCTCCCACCCCGCCCCTCTGCCTCCCCATGCGAGGTGACTCCCCCAAGAAGCAGCTCGTTCTTTTGGGCCTTCTTTCTGGCTCATTCCAGGAACAATGGGCCCTTCAAACCCTCCTCCATATCCACAGGGCTTATGGCCTCCCCAGCTGCCCTGTTGGGGAAGTTCTGCTTTTTATCCTCCCTGTCCCTCCACAGGAGTCTTCCCAAAGTGCTCAAGAGTAAAATGGCCTCGGGTTGCCAGGGCTAAGGGGATGTGATTGTCTCTTCTCTGTCCCTCCCTCCAGGGCACCCGGTTTCTGCCCGTGGGTTCTGCCTGGTCCCTACACCACCCACGTCTGGGTCTGGGCTTCTTCCCCACCGCGATGGGGGTACGTACTCACCTGCATTTTCTCCAGCATCTCAAAGAACTCCGACGACTGAAAGACAAAAGCAGGGGACAGAAAGACAGGGATCAGCCAGGAGGTCCACCGCAAAAGCCTCTTCCTTACCAACTATCAGGAAGCTGCGCCTGGGGCTTCTCCAGGAACCAAATTCACTTGGATCAACAGAGAAGATAATTTGATTTTGCCTTTGCAGGGCTAGAGGGCCGAACACCCCATACAACGAGAGAGAGGCGAAGGCACGCCTGGGCTCGCAAATGAATGGTGCCGGAGGAGCAGACACTCGGCCTCTGCCAAGGAAAGAGGACTGTGGGGCCCTGGGAAAAGCCAAATTCCGCAAACGCCTGGCATCCTCGGGATTCAGCCTCTGGCAGGAGCCACGTTTAGGATGTTTTCAACCCAAAATGGGGCCGAGGGGTCCAACACAAGCGGCGTTCCAGACCCTGACACAGAAAACCAACCAGTCAAAGCAGAGCCGCTGTGGCCAGAGCAGCCGGGGAAGGTGGAGGGAGGGCCTGCCGTGCCACCTCTGCCTCTGCCTGCCCGGTCCCCTGCCCGCAAGACACCACTTTAGGACCCTGAAACTGGTAAAGCAAAGCCTGAACCGAAGCCTCCAGGGGCCTAGAGGGGCTATTTTTTTTCCTTTTTTTTTTTTTTTTGAGACAGTCTCGCTCTGTCACCCAGGCTGGAGTGCAGTGGCGCAATCTCAGCTCACTGCAACCTCCGCCTCCCGGGTTCAAGCGATTATCCTGCCTCAGCCTCCAGAGTAGCTGGGATTACAGGCGCCTGCCACCACACCCAGCTAATTTTTGTATTTTTAGTACAGACGTGGTTTCATCATATTGGCCAGGCCGGTCTCGAACTCCTGACCTCGGGTGATCCACCCACCTAAGCCTCCCAAAGTGCTGGGATTACAGGCGTGAGCTACCACGCCCAGCCTAGATGGGTTATTTTTAAAATCCCAATTGCACTTGTCCAAACCTTCAACCTACTTTGGTGCCACCCTTGTGTGTCCGGGAAAAACAAAAAGGAGAAAAGGGAAGTGGAATGGAAGCGTGAGGGGCTGGCAGCTCTACCCCAACAAAACACACAGAGGCCACCCCACTTCCCATCCCCTGAAAACAGCTACCCTTCCTCAGACTAACGTCACTGCCCACGTCTGCACCGGGAAGCTAATGAGTGCCCAGAACAGGCAGTCCCCAGTGAAAACGAGAAAAAGAAAGCAGGGATGAGGAACACGGTGTGTGTGTGTCCTCGGTTCTTCTTCGGGCAGGGGTGGGGCCTCCAGGCACTCCCCCTACCTCTGCAGGCACCCGTGGGCCAGAACTGCTTGGAGCTCCCATTGCTCCCAGAATTCCCAGAACCGCCCTGGGAAGGAGCCTGGTGAAGTCCCTGGAGAGAGCCAGCCCTGCTGTGGACTCCAAACAACCTCTGTCAGGTCAAAGCCAGCGTGTCAGAGGCAAAAACCCTCTGACCTACCAGCAGCTCAGGATCTGGCATCTGGAAACCCCGTGTATGAATGCACAGAGGTGGGCTTAGGGCAAGCACATCCAACTCCCTCGACCAGAAGGGAGCTACCAAACATCCGGATGCAAAGCTCCTCTTCCAACCTGCTCAGGTGCACGTGCACCACCCACGCGGGGCATTCTTACCATCTCCAGGCTTAGGAGACCAGGATTACCAGACGTAAAGAGCTTATACCAATCAATAAGGATAGAAAGATGAACAGGAGGAGGATAATGGAACAGAAACAATCAACATGTTAAATACACAGACCTCTGACCCGCGATTCCACGTCTGACAATCCATCCTCTAACACACTTGCAATGTACACAAAGACAGGCTCAAATGTTCACTGCAGCATTGTTTCTAACAGTAAAAAATAAAAACAACTTAAACGTCTGCAGAAAATTGGTTAAAAGAAGCTACATTCACAGAATAAAATACAAGTACTATAAACTATAGGTCAATAAATTAGGTAACATCAATGAAATGAACAAATTCCTAGAAAAACACAACCTATCACAACTGAGTCAGTAAGAAACAGAAAATCTAAAGACATGTAACAAATACAAAGATCAAATGAACGATTAAAAAAAAACGACACACAAAGAAAAGCCCAGACCCAGGTGGCTTCATTTGTAAATTCTACCAAACGTTTACAGAAAAGTGAATATGAATTCCTCATACTTACTCTCAAGAAAGTCAAAAGAAAGCCCACAGAATGGTAGAAAATATTTGCAAATAATATATCTGATCAAGGACAGGTCTCTACAAAAACCAACTCTTACAACTCAGTAAGAAAAAGACAATTCCATTTAAAAATGGGCAAAGGATCTAAATACACATATCCCCAGAGAAGACATACAAAGGAACAATACGTACATGAAAAGACACTCAAGCCATTAGTCATCAGGAAATACAAATCAAAACCACGAGATACCACTCATACCACTAACGTAGCTATGATCAAAAACCAGAATATCACAGGTGTGAGCAAGGACGTGGAGAAATCAGATCCCTCATCTGTTGCTGGTAGGAACGTCAAACAGTACAGCCATTGTGGAAAATAATTTCACAATTCCTTAAAAAGTTCAGCACGGAATTATGACCACATGACCCAGCAATTCGACCCCTAGGAACATACACAAAAGAATCGGAAGCCGGTACTCAAGCAAATACTTGTACATAAACATTCATAACTGCAGTATCCACTCTTGCCAAACAGTGGGTACAACCCAAATGTCCATCAACTGACGAATAAACAAAATATGCTATATCCCTACGATGGAATAATATTCAGCCATGAAAAATAACATACTGATATATGCTGCAACACTGCTGACCTTTGAATGCATTACACCAAATGAAAAAAGGTAGAGATAGGGCCAGGTGCGGTGGCTCACGCCTGTAATCCCAGCACTTTGGGAGGCCGAGGTGGGCGGATCACAATGTCAGGAGAGCGAGACCATCCTGGCTAACACGGTGAAACCCCGTCTCTACTAAAAATACAAAAAAATTAGCCGGGCGTGGTGGCGGGCGCCTATAGTCCCAGCTACTCTGGAGGCTGAGGCAGGAGAATGGCATGAACCCGGGAGGCGGAGCTTGCAGTGAGCCGAGATCGTGCCACTGCACTCCAGCCTGGGCGACAGAGCAAGACTCCGTCTTAAAAAAAAAAAAAAGACAAAAGGTCAATAAAAGACCATGATTCCATTTTTATCAAATGTCCAGAGTAGGCAACCTCATAGAGACAGAAAGTAGATTAGGGATTGCTTAGGCTGAGGAGGATGGGGGATTGGAAGGTGATAGCTAAAAGGTACGGATTTCATTTCAAAGCAATAAAAAGGTTCTAAAACTGAGTATGATGGTGGTTGCACAGCCCCACGAATACCACCAAAAACCACTGAATTGTACACTTTATTTTATTTTTTATTTTTTGAGATGGAGTTTTGCTCTTTTCGCCTAGGCTGGAGTGTAATGGCGTGATCTTGGCTCATTGCAACCTACACCTTCCGGGTTCAAGCAATTCTCCTGCCTCAGCCTCCCAACTAGATGGGATTACAGGCGTGCGCCCCCACGCCCGGCTAATTTTTGTATTTTTGGTAGAGACTGGGTTTCACGATGTTGGCCAGGCTGATCTCGAACTCCTGACCTCAGGTGATCTGCCTGCCTCGGCCTCCCAAAGTGCTGGGATGACAGGCGTGAGCCACCACACCCGGCCAAATTGTACACTTTAAATAGGTGATTTTATGATATGCAAATTATATCTCAATAAAGCTGTTCAAAAAAACTATGCAATCATTCAAAAAGACAGCAACAGATTTATGTTGCTTACATATGACACTCTCTAAGATATATTAAGTTGAGGGGTGGAGGAAATCAGAGACAATACATTGAATATAATCCCAATTTTATAAAAACAGCCAGGCACGGTGGTTCACACCTGTAATCCTAACTACATAGGAGGCTGAGGCAGGAGGGTCACTAGAGCCCAGAAGTTCAAGGCTGCAGTGAGCTATGATCATGACACTGTACTCTACCCTGGGTGACACATCTCTTAAAAAAAAAAAAAAAGACACCATAAAGCTACCTATATTACGCATGCATATAAATTCATAGAAAATGATCTGGAAGACTATACCTCAAACTATCCAAAAGCCATTACATCAGTAAATGAGGGGTCTGGTGCGGTGGCTCACGCCTGTAATCCCAGCACTTTGGGAGGCTGAGGTGGGCGGATTACTTGAGCCCAGGAGTTTGAGACCAGCCTGGCCAACATAGTGAAACCCCGTCTCTACTAAAAATACAAAAATTAGCTGGGCATGGTGGCGCACATCTGTAATCCCAGCACTTTGGGAGGCTGAGGCGGGCGGATTACTTGAGCCTAGTGAAACCCCGTCTCTACTAAAAATACAAAAATTAGCTGGGCGTGGGGGCGCACACCTGTAATCCCAGCTACTCAGGAGGCTGAGGCATGAGAATCGCTTGAACCCAAGGGGCGGAGGCTGCAGTGAGCCGAGATCCCTCCACTGCACTCCAGCCTGAGTGACAGAGCGAGACTGTCTCAAAAGAAAAAAAAAAAAAAAAAAAAAAAAACAGAAAAATGTGCAAGGGACATGAACAAATGATTAAAGAACACACATAAAATGACTAATGAACACATGGAAACAAGCCCAACCTCTCTAGTTATGAAAGAAATTAAGATCACAGTAAGATAACATCTTTCACTATTAGGTCGACCAGTGTTGGCAAGGGTATGTGGCAGGAACATATTGCTGGCGGGAAAGAGAAACGGTACAGCCACGGCGTCCAGTCGGCAGGCCCAGGCTGCAGGAGCTGTGGGTGAATGCATACCGGATACAGCTTTCCTAAAGGCATCATGTGTCCAAAACTTTTAAAATATCCACGTCCTTTGGTCCAATAAACCCGCTCTAAGGAATTTACCCTAGAGCAATATCCGGGCCCTGCCACAAGAACACACATGCAAGGATGTTTGCCCCAGCACTGTTTATGAGCCAAAAAGTGTGAGCGATGGG